CTCCAAACATGGATGTCAATCTATTGCTTATTCAGACCCCCAGTCCAGAGATATTCCAAACATGGATACCTTTCTGATACTCGTCCACTCGCCTACAACATTCTTGGATGGCATCTTTAAGCCCATCTCCAGTAGGACTTCTTTCACACCTCCAGATGGCATCGTTAAGCCCATCTCCGACAAGATTCTTTCACATCTCCAAATGGCATCTTTAAGCCCATTCCCTCGTCTACGCTTTGACAAGTGAAAATTTTTTGGGCACTCTAGTGTCCAATCTCCTTTTACCTTCGAGTCGCAAATGGCAAAACTGCCAATCTAACTCTTCAGGTTCAAGAAGATTGAACAAGGGCAACTGTTGTACCCCAAAAATTTGCCCTCCTCTTTTTCACAAGAAATCACAGCTTCAGGCTTTTCCTGATTTTTCAGATTGGCTCAAGAATCGGTCAAACAGACTTTTCTTATCAGTCAAACAAAATTAGGGTTTCCATTGACTTTTGAATCAGTCCAAGCAGATTATTAGGGTTTTTATTGATTTGGTTGAGTTTGGCTCAGGGTTTGATCAAGCAGACGTTTCTTCGACAATAAATTCAAAATTAGGGTTTGCACGCACATTCTCAGAAGAATTTGAATCCACAACATTTCATTTGACCGTCACATGGTTTTGACGCTTGTTCAAGATTCCTGTTTGTTTCTTAAAGTCTAAACATCTGGGATAGAAGCTGAGGCTTCTGATTGAAAGATTGAAGTGTTGGTTTAATCAGTAAGGTAAAAGGCGTATGGACGTTTGTTTTTTTAACTGTGCAATGCATTTGGTTATTTGGAACGTCGGACGATTGTTGATTATTTATAATTTCTAAGTTAAAATTATTGGGATAATTTCCAATTATTATAATTCAAGAAATTTAAATAATTAAATAAGCAATTGCAGAAGAAATCAAGAATTATCTGACAAAAGATTTTTATTCATTTTCAATTGTTGTTACAAATGTTTATTTGATACAGTAAATTTATTTACAGTATTTACAATAACGTTTATTACAATGATTAAAAATAAAATAAAATAAATCTACATCCTAAGTCTCTTGAAGTCATCTTCTACTGCTGCTTCCCTTGCCCCAATTGATATTTACCTGCAAAGCCAGAAAAAGGAGAAGTCAATAACAGTTAAATTGGAAAAGCATTTTCAGACAGTTAATCATAAAATTTCATCATTAAAGGTTGCTGGTCGGAATCAGATTATTTTGGGCTTTCATCATATTTTGCTCATCCTCTTTGCAAAACACAAGAAAATTCCTCTTCTTGGTTCACAAAGAGGAAAGTAAAATTGTTTGCAAGCATGGAATTAATTAAGTACAAGGTTGCATAATTTCAAACTGAAAATGCCAAACCAAATTGCATTGTCAAACTAGGCAAACCAAATTGTCAAAGAGAGGCAAACCAAATTGTCAAAGATATCAAAACAGAAAAACTGTCAAGAAAGATATCAAAGCTGTCAAAAATTGTCAAGAAAGATATCAAAGCTATCAAAAATTGTCAAGAAAGATATCAAAATAGAAAAACTGTCAACAAGTACACAAAAAGCAAATGCAGAAAATCTGGAGGATATGCAGAGGAAAACCAAAGATGCAAGCATATTGTCAAAACCTTTTTCATCATTTTCCAGCCACAACCTTTTCAGAAAAAACTATTCTAAAGCATAAAATATGCTTTCTGAAGAGAGAGAAAGAGAGTAAAAAGCAGGCTTACAGTTTTTGGGCAGGCTTAAGACATAGATAAATATAACATTATCCTAACACTGTAAAAGGGGGGGGGGGGGCAGAACACATAAAGAAAAGTATACCACAAACTGTAAACACACAACAAGCCTGTAACCTCCAAACCTGCCTCAAACCTGTTACAGAGGCAAGCCTCAAGCCTGTATCAGTAAACTGCATTCACCTGCATAAAACTTCAAGCCTGAACCAGAAAACCTGTGTTCAAACTCAGCAAACCTGCATAAAAAGCCTGCTCCAAGCTACCTCAAGTATACCTCAAACCTATAACAGAAGCAAGCCTTCAAGCCTAAAAACCGGTTACAGAAGCAAGCCTTCAAACCAAAAACCTGTCAAACACATAACAGAAGCAAGCCCTTCAAGCCAAAAACCTGTCAAACACATAACAGAAGCAAGCCTTCAAACCCAAAACCAAGCAACCTGCATAAAACCTCCAGCCTGCATACAACCACAAAAACAGTCCAAACTGCAAACTCAGAAGCCTGCCTCAAGCCAAGCACAACACATCCTGCATCAAAAACCTTCAAACAAAACTGTACCATACAAACCTGCTTGTATCAGTAGCCTGCCTAAAACAAGAAATCCAACAAATCCAAACCAGATATCATAACAACAATAGCCAACAAGTGTTCTCAGCAGTTCATCATCAAACTCATACAAATCCGAACCACAAAAACAAGCAAATAAACCATCTCAGAATTAAAATCATCATAGAAGACCAACCAAGCCAAAGAGAGGGAAACTCATAAGCAAAGTTCATCACAGAATAATCATCAAAAGCATCACAGAAGCAAGTATTCAGAGAGGAAGAGATTCAAAAGTTGGTGGAACAGGGTTTTTAGATTATAGCATTTCATCATAAAACTGCTCAAAAAGAAAGATACGAGATTACCAGAAAGCCAGTAAGAACAAAGCTTTCATCAACGTCTCGCTCCCTCGCCCGACCGCCTAAGAAGCGCCTCCTGTCCAAACTCTCCGTCTCCTCTCCAAAAGCAGAACCAAGGTATTAATCCCTCTTTCCTATTTTTCTACATCTCACACAAACACAAATAACACAGAAGATCAAAATATGTCAAAAATCAATAACATGCACGAATTTTGAAACCCTAAAACGAATAGAACGAGATCGTTACTGTGATACGGTGGGAGAACTGACTATGGTTTTGCGTTTTGTTTTCGCAAATGTTTTGGTTGAGCAAGAGTCGCCACCGACTTTTTATTTTATCCTAAGGAAAGGTTAAAAAGCACAGAAAAAACCTTTGAGATGTTTTCTTGGGTTCGGGGAGTAGATTATAGAAAAGGAAGGTATTAGCACCCTTTCTATCCATGGTTATCCATGGGCTCTTAGTTACTTGCTTAGATCAACTTGCCTTAATTTTCAATTGTTTGAAATGGTGCTTTATGTGTGTGGGTTTGAAAATGTTTTGAAAAGAAGCCAATGTGGTGGCAACCTTTGTAATGATCCATGTTGGGGATGTATACAAAGGTGTATGTCTTTTGAAAAGGTTTTCATTTGTTTTTGAAAGTTATTTTGAAAGTGTAGTGATGTGTGGTTTAGAAAAATAGGCAAGTGTTTTGTTTTTGCAAGTTTGATTCAAGTAACTAAGAGGTTGTCTACTCCTAAATTTGTCAAAGATCTTTGCTATGTTTTAACCCTTTTAACATTTTGTTCCACCATTGCATTTGGTGGACAATCTTGTGTTAGGATGTGAAAGGGACGGGCGCGGGTCATCGTTTAGACCATAATTGCAATGGTGCCAAGTATCTTTGGTCAATCTTTCCTTTGAGGGACTTGATCATTTTTTAGGCAACTTTCGAAAGCGTCATCGAGGGACTATGATCATTTGATTGTTTGTTTTGCCCAAAGAGACCTAACATGCAATATGGCCCATTAATTGAAGGCAACAAGTGGAATACCCTAGGGGTGCAAGTGTGATTAGTGTTGTCCATTTTCATGCTTGATTATCTTGAAATTAGGTCAAACTATTTTTGTTGTTTTTGATTCGCATACAAACCCTAATTCTAGCATGGCATAATTAGAAAGCATTAAAGTGCGAAA